GCACTATCACACCTGGCTAATTTTTTCTATTTTTAGTAGAAACGGGGTTGCGCTCTTGCTCAGGCTGGTCTCGAACTCCTGAGCTCAAGCAGCCCTCCCCCCCGCTGCCTTGGCCTCCCAGAGTGTTAGGATTACAGGCGTGAGCCACTAGGCCAGCCTGGGCACAACATTTTTGTCAACTGATTAAGATATAACCTTGTTTTTTGTGTGTGTTTCTGTCTAAAGATACTTTAACTTAATATCTCTTGTTGATTCATTAACACTGAACTCACAGCCTACAGCGCTATAACTCAAGCTTACCTAACACATGTGTTTTCTCTATAAGGCACGTCACACAGCCTTTTTGTGCTTAGGAACACTAGACAGCATCTCAACATCATGCTTGGGGGCCATTTTAAACAGTGAGATCACTAATAAAAAATATAAAAATTTGAAAAACCTGGTAATAGGCTGTAAAAAGGACATTTGTTTCCAATACATCTGAAATATGGCAGCAAAGTGCCTGCCATCGTCTTGTTCTACTTTGGTTAAGAATGTGCTTGTTGGGTGAGTCAAATTTTTTGCTGCTCTGTAGGTGTCCATGAATGACCATGAAAGTGCCAAAAGTACTGATTTTGGGGTTACAAATAAATTTTAGTAAGTAGGTAAATTTGCAAATACAGAATCTGCAAATGAGGATAGACTGCATTTTAAAAACTTTCTAAATTAATCATAGTCATATTTATATTTAAAAAATTCAAATCTGAGAATTGCTAAAGCTTTTTGCAGGCCACAGAGAAATAAATTAGGAGAAATGAAATAGGACAGTTTTTGTTCCCTAGTGCTTGGACTAGCATATTAAAGAAACACTGTAAGAAGGCTGGAAGGCAGGTCTAGCACAAAATTTTTATATATTTAAAAATGTGACAGAAAAACTCTGTAAATGTACTTAAAACCACTGACTTGAACATACTTAAAGAGGTGAACTTTATGATATGTAAGTTATAGATAAATAAAACTACTGAAAAATGACAGTAAAGAAATCCGTATTTAATTTTTCTAATTAAATTTTTCTGATTTGGGTTCAATATATAGAGAACACAATAATGTATGAGTGGAAGACAGGTGAATGGGCTAAGCCCAGACATAAATAAAAGACTGCTGCAGAATCATAAGCATCCAAAGTTGAAAACCTACCCTTCTACCTATGATACCCCTCTCTCGTCTGCAGTGACCCTGGCTGAAGGTCATTCAGAAGTATTATTTCTCTTTTACCTTCCACAATATTTAAAAATAAACAAACATGCTTTTTTATTTGTATTCACATTTTTTGAGGTAAAAGTCACATAACATAAAATTCACCATGTGAAACATTTTAAAGTGTACAGTTCAGTGGCTTTTAGTATATTCACATTGTTGTGCAATGACCAAGACGATCTAATTCCAAAACACTTTCATCAACAATATGCTTTTGTAACACTTTAATCATTATATAAAATTTTTCATTCTAATATTTTCATGAATCAGTTAACATATATTATTAAGCATGTAAGAACAATAGAGTATCCTTTTAAAGTTGCAAAATAAGATTTTCTGATTATTTTTTTACAAACTATACC